CCTATTAGCTAAAAAAATTGCATCAAAGTTGCATGGGTGTGACTTTGGTGCAACTTTGGAAGGATGCGACTTTGATGCAACTTTGGATGGGTGCAACTTTGTTGTGACTTTTAATGGATGTGACTTTCATGCTGCTTTGGATGGATGCGACTTTGATGCAACTTTTTTTTTCTTGCTAATAGGAAAGTATAACAGTTCTGTTCATGTAGTGCAACTTTGATGTTACTTGAGTGCCAGAGAGTCCAACATTCACATCAAAATTGCACTACATGAACAGAATTGTTATACTCTCCTATTAGCTAAAAAATTGCATCAACGTCGCAAAAGTGTGACTTTGGTGCGACTTTGGATGGATGCAACTTTGGATGAATGTGACTTTGATTAAACTTTTTTTTTTGCTAATAAGTATTATTTTTCTGTTCATGTAGTGCAACTTTGAAGTGACTTGAGTTCCAGACAGTCATACAGTCACATCAAAGTTGCACTACATGAACAGAATTGTTATACTTTCTTATTAGAAAAATAATCGCATGGGTGCGACTTTGGATGGATGGGACTGTGATGTGACTTTGTTGCAACTTTGGATGGGTTCGAATTTGTTGTGACTTTGGATGGATGTGACTTTGATGCAACTTTGGATGGATGCAACTTTATTGCAACTTTTTATTTTTTAAATTTCGCTAATAGGAAAGTATAACAGTTCTGTTGATGTGACTTGAGTGCCAGAGAGTCATTATTATTATTATACAGGATTTATATAGCGCCAACAGTTTGCTCATGTCTTTACAATATAACAGGAGACAATACAGCAACAGTACAGTTCAATACAAGAGGAATTGGAGGGCCCTGCTCCTTGGAGCTTACAATCTAGGACATAAAAAGTCACATCAAAATGGCACTACATGAACAGAACTGTTATACTTTCCTATAAGCAAAAACCTTGCGACAAAGTTGCACCCATCCAAAGTTGCATCAAAATCACATCAAAGTTTCATCCATCCAAAGTTGCCCCAAAGTCACACCCATGCGACTTTGATGCAATTTTTTAGCTAACAGGAAAGAATAACAGTTCTGTTCATGTAGTGCAATTTTGATGTGCCTTTATGACTCTCTGGCACTCAAGTCACATCAACGTTGCACTACATGAACAGAACTGTTATACTTTCCTATTAGCAAAAAAATCACGACAAAGTTGCATCCATCCAAAGTCGCATCAAAGTCATAACTTTCCTATTTGCAAAAAAAAAAAAAAAATGCAGAACACATCAAATGCGCATCAAAAACGCAACATTTTTGGTGCAAGTCCATTGAAGTCTATTACACGCAAAATGCCATCTGCTTGTAGGAAAAAAAGTCCCTGACCTTTTCCAAAAAACGCATCGATGTTTTAGAAAAGGCGCTGCAGTGCACTGATAAGAGTAGGCTCTATCAATGCCATTACCTTGGTGACTGATCCATTATAGCGCCTTCCAACGTGTGCAAGAGAAGGTGAACAGGGCCCAGCCTGACTATTCAGATTGTCGGAAAGCCTCCTCTGTGACCGGTCCTCTTTATCATCGCACAGCTTGTATTCGAGTTTTCTGCAGAGAACATTAGGACACATATTGGCAGTTGGCAGAGGCAGAGAGACCTGTCTGTGGCACAGGGGTGATGGAATATGAAGATGAACTAGATGAACCTGCATTCTCATTGCTGCGATGAACAAGAGGTGACTACTAATGCTCTGCCCCTACCGTCCCAGGAATGCGTATTTGTATTTCAGCGGCACACTCATTAACCCGACTGCAGAAGGCGGTTTATATGGAGGAAATGTTTATACATTCACTTGTCAGCTTTATTTACTATAGATTTGATGTTGCTTTTTCATTGCTGTATAAATCCAAATTCATTGTCACATCTGTTTCAAATGCTTGAGGAGTTTAACCCTTCAGGTGCCCTGAGGAAGCAAAAAGCTAAGGAGAATGAAAGTGCTGCTGTGCCTTCTGGGAAACGTAGGTGCGGGTTTGGTTGTATGGAGTTTGACCTTGCATCATGTACAACAGGGAGGTCAGAGACAGGGGCAGACTGACAACTTATGGGGCCCCCGGGCAATAGGGGATCATGTGACCCCTGTGTCCTTGCCCAAACTCAAAAAAGCCTATGAAAAAGGTACCAGGGGCATCTCATGGGGCCCCCTTCTGACCCCGGGCCCTCGGGCAGTGCCTGAGTTTCCAAATGGTCTGTCTGCTTCTGGTCAGAGATGACAGCAGGGGAAACTATCGAAGGAATGGAACCCTTTTCTCTTCTAAGCAGGTAGCAGTTGCACTGGCACTGACAAAGTTAAACAGGAATTCCAGGTATGGAGATTTTATACACAGTCCACCAATGTAACCATGAATATGCCATACCAGACTGATCCCCCTGGAAGCTGGAAATCAATGAAAAAGACACTGCTAGTGATGGGCTGAACAGCCCACCCACCCCCGTTCGGTTCGCAGTTGAACATCCGAATCTACAGAATGCTCAATTTCCCCTGGGAACAACTGAGCGGTATCTTACGGCATCTGAGCATGTGGTACGATACCGCTTAGTTACTACAATGCCGCATGAGTTATATTATTAAGTCATGGGGTATTTTAGTAGTGAAACATTCATTTATATTTCAGTGGTCAGTGGGGTTCCCTGCTGACAGCTGAATGTAAAACAAATTGTCAGCATTGCCGGACAATTAAAAAACTTTTTAAAATAGCGGCATCGGTTCCCCATCCCATCCATACCAAGCCCTTCAGGTCTGGTTTGGATTTTGAGGGAACCCCCACACCAAAATTAATAAAAAAATGGTGTGGGGGTCCCCCCATAATCCCTACCAGACCCTTATCCGAGCATGCAGCCCAGCATGACAGGAAAGGTGGGGGGACGAGTGAGCGCCCCCCTCCCTCCTGAACCATACCAGGCCACATGCCCTCAACATGGGGGGTGCTTTGGAGCAGGGCCCCCCCCCCCCAAAAAAAAGCACCTTGTCCTCATGTTGATGGGGTCAAGGGCCTCTTCCCCACAACCCTGGCCTGTGGTTGTGGGGGTCTGTGGGCAGGAGGCTTTTCAGAATGTGAAAGGCCCCTTTAACAAGGGGTCCCCAGATTACACCCCCCCATGTGAATGAGTATGGGGTGCATGGTACCGCTACCCATTCGCAAAAATAAGTGTAGTGTTAAAATGACAAGAGACAGTCTTTGACAAGTGCTTTATTAAAAACAAAAATAAAAAAAAATTTGAAGTAGTTCCAATGTCAATCACAATGGCCACCTGAAAAAAGAGAAAACAAAACGCTCTGCTCTGACAGTTGCACTTCAATGACAGTTCTTAAATAGTGTGATAACGTCACAAGGGGGCAGGGTTACCCCTGCCCCCTTGTGACGTCATCATGCGCTGTGATTGGCCAAAGCATTGCATCTGACCTGTGGTCAGGTGCATCGCTTTGGCCAATCACAATGCATGATGACGTCACAAGGGGCAGGGGTGACACTGCCCCCTTTTGATGTTATCACACTATTTCATAGGTGCAGTGAACTGTGGGGCGCGGTGGGCAAACAGCCCTCCAAACACCCTTATCTTTTGTCTGTTTGCTGAAACACATGAATGGCCCATGTTTGACTGGAACATGAAACCCAACCCTACTGACAAGCATTTAACCCATTAACTACAAAAAAAAAACCCATGAATGATCAAAATCTCTTGTGTTTTGACTTTATATATGTATAAAAAGACGTGCTGTGTGCTTTTTGTCAAGGTTAACAGGCTTTTAATCCTTCAACTACCAAGCCAGGCCTATAAAAACCTTCCGGTGTGCTCTGACTTCATATGAGCATGGAATTATTCCTAGGTGCTTTGGCCGGCTAAGCCAAGGCTAACAAGGTTTAACCCTTCTGATACCCAAAGAGACAAATGCAAACTCTCATTTTTTGCTTTGACGTTCTAGAAGTATAAAAACCCTCCTGTGTGCTTTAACTTCATCGGAGAATGAAAATCTTCCTAGGTGTTGTGGCAAAGCCAAGGCTAGCAAGCGTTTAACCCTTCGACTACCCAAAACGACGAATGAAAACTCTCCCTTGTCTCCCTTGTGCTTTGGTGTCAAAGAAGTAATAAACCCTTCCTGTGTGCAGCCAAGGTTAACAGGCTTTTAATCCTCCAGCTAACCAAACAGACACATGAAAACCCTCCCGTGTGCTTTGACTTCATATGAGCATGAAAATCCCCCAAGGTAACTTGGCAAAGCCAGAGCTACCAAGTGTTTAACCCTTCATGTACCCAAAGAGGATGAATGAAAACTCTCCTTTATGCTTTGACTTCATAGGAGCCTGAAATCCTCCTATGCCTTTTGAGAAAGCCAAAGGCTAACAAGCGTTTAACTCTTCAACTACCCAAAAAGATGAATGACAACTCTCCATCGTGCTTTGACATCGTAGAGGTAAACAGGGCTATCTTTAATATTGATTGGACCCTGGGCAAACATTTTCTTGGGACCCCCCATGCAATTTTGCTTTCATATTACACCCCTTCCCCTCTAGGGTTGCCACCTTATTATTTTAAAACCGAACACATTATAATTACACAGGTTCTGAGGTTGACTTAATGCAGATAAGGCGCTAAGTGAGTTTAATGACCACCTTAATCAGCCACAGAACCTGCGTAATGAACATGTGTTCGGGTTTAAAGGGATGAGGTGGCAACCCTATTCCCTCCCCCCCCCCACCCCAGCGGTCTCATTCAGGGGCGGACTGACAACTCATGGGACCTCCAAGCAAAAATTAACTTTACAACAATTTTTCAGGGTGTAAATATCAAATTTTTCCATCACCAAATCCAACCTCTGGTTAGATTAGCACACGTTTGCTATTATTAAAAAAAACAGCCTTAAAAAGTCAACTAAACTTTAAAATAACTCAGCTTTTTTCCAGAGTGGTTGTTGATATTCTATATATGTACAGTAAATGTACTCTAAACCAGGGGCAGACTGACAACTCATGGGGCCACCGGGCAATAGGGGATCATGGGGCCCCTGTGTCCTTGCCCAAACTCAAAAAAGTCTATGAAAAAGGTACCAGGGGCATCTCATGGGGCCCCCTACTGACCCCGGGCCCTCGGGCAGTGCCCGAGTTTCCAAATGGTCAGTCCGCCCCTGGTCTCATTTTAATAGTGTCCAGGTGGCAGGCGAACACCAGTCACATCTCCCCGAACCCTCCAGCGGGCCAATGGTCAGTGGCTTGTCAGACATGGTGAGTGAGAGGGGTCGTGTGACTGTACCCAGGTCTGACAGGTGCTCCCCATGGACAAGGTTTACCTGGCTGGCCAATCACCGCACAGACTGCAGACATAACATTCAAACAATCACCAGCACCCCAACATTCAATTTCCACCCATCTCCTGAGTGATAGTCAAATTCACCTGTCAACTATTTGTAGTCTCAAGGGGCATCTCAGATGCTTTGAGCCCCACACCAATGACTGGGCCTGGGGTAGGGTTGCCACCTCATCCCTTTAAAACTGAACACCTATTAATTACACAGGTTCTGTGGCTGGTAAGCTGGTAATTAAACTCACTTAGTGCCTTATCTGCATTAAATTAGCCTCAGAACCTGTGTAATTAATAGGTGTTCGGTTTTAAAGGAATGAGGTGGCAACCCTAGCCTGGGGAAGCTGTCCCTTTTGCCCCGCATTAAAGACAGCTGTGGAGGCAAAAAACAAAAAACCTTCTAGCACAGCCAAGGACTTTTAATCCTTCAGGTACCCAGACACATGAAAATCCTCCCGTGTGCTTTGACTTCATATGAACATACAAAATTTTCCTAGGAGCTTTGTAAAAGTCAAGGCTGACAAGCGTTTAACCCTTCAACAGAAAGACAAATGTAAACTATCGTTTTTATTTCAACATAATAGAAGTATAAAAAACTTCCCGCTTTGGCAAAGAGAAGGTCCTCCCGTGTTTTCTGACTTCATAGGACTATGAAAACCCTCCTGAGGGCTTTGTTAAAGCTAAGGCTTTTAGATTGTAAGCTCCAAGGAACAGGGCCCACTGATTACTCTTGTATTGAATTGTATTGTAATTGTACTGTCTCCATCCATTTTCTAGAGCACTGCGCCAACCACTGGTGCTATATAAATCCTGTATTATAATAATAATTAGGGTTGCACCAATACCGAATACTTGCACGTAGGGTTTCCACCTCATCCCTTTAAACCTGAACACATATTAATTACACAGGTTCTGTGGCTGATTAAGGTGGGTATTAAACTCACATAGTGTCTTATCTGCATTAAATGAGCCTCAGAACCTAAAAGGAATATGTGTTCGGGTTTAAAGGGATGAGGTGGCAACCCTACTTGCACGAGTACTTGTGCTCCCAACACCCAAAACTGATACCTTTTCAGTGCAATTTGAGCCCACACAAAATTAATGGGCTCAAATCAGACTGCAAAGAATTGCATGCAATTTAAAACAGGAATGCGGTGCAATTGCATGCAGTTTCCTGCACAGCAGGGGCGGACTGACAACTCATGGGGCCCCCGGGCAATAGGGGATCATGGGGCCCCTGTGTCCTTGCCCAAACTCAAAAAAGCCTATGAAAAAGGTACCAGGGGCATCTCATGAGGCCCCCTACTGACCCCGGGCCCTCGGGCAGTGCCCGAGTTTCCAAATGGTCAGTCCGCCCCTGCTGCACAGTCAGCACTGCAAGAAGAGGAGAGGGATTTCGAAGCAGCGTTTTGGTGTCTGACAGTGGGGGATCAGCAATCTAGTGCAGCAGGACCGGGAGAATGGGGATGGAGAGGGGGTCTAGTGGATGGCTTGAGCCTAGGGTTGCCACCTCATTGCTTTAAAACCGAACACATATTAATTACACAGGTTCTGGGGCTAATTTAATGCAGATAGGGCACTAAGTTAGTTTAATTAGCACCTTAACCACTTGCTAACCGCACTATAGCCGAACGACTGCTACAGTGTGGTTGTCCAGTTCTGGGAGGGTGTTATATGACGTCCTCCCAGAATGCACCCTCCTATGCGCCCCTGGCAATCTCTGTGATTGCTGTGTCCTATGGACACAGCTGATCATGTGCTGTGGTAAAAGGCCAATTACAGCAGCCTTTTACCACATGATCAGCTGTGTCCAATGACACAGCAGATAACCGGTAAATGCAGTTGCTGGTTATCGGCTGCACTTTCCTCACGCTGTCACAGCGTGAGGAAAGTACTGCCGATAACTGGCAATTGTCAGAGGACGGATTGGCACCGATCATTAGGGTACTGGTGATCAGTGCCCTGATGATCAGTGCCCAGTAGTGCCACCCACCAGTGCTGCCCACCTGTGCCCAGCAGTGCCATCCACAAGTGCCGAGCAGTGTCACCCACCTGTGCACATCAGTGCCTAGCAGTGCCACCCATCAGTGCCCAGCAGTGCCGCCAGTCAGTGCCACCCATCAGTGCTGCCTATCAGTGCCCATCATTGTTGCATATCAGCGCAGCATCATCAGTACCGCCTCATCAGTGCCGCCTATCAGTGCTGCCTATTAGTGCCCATCAGTGCGGCCTATCCGTGCCACCTCATCAGTGCCGCCTATCAGTGCACATCAGTGCCGCCTATCAGTGCACATCAGTGCAGCCTCATCAACGCACATCAGTGAAGGAGAAAAATTACCTGTTTGCAAAATTTTATAATAGAAACAAAGAAAAACTTTTTTTTTCACATTTTTTGCTATTTTTTGTTTATAGTGAAAAAAATAAAACACCCAGTGGCGATTAAATACCTCCAAAAGAAAGCTCTATTTGTGTGGGTACAGTGTTGCATAACCGCGCAATTGTCACTCAAAGTGTGACAGTGCTGAAAGCTGAAAATTGGCCTGGGCAGGAAAGGGGTATAAGTGCCCAGTAGTAGCCACAGAACCTGCGTAACTAATATGTGTTTGGTTTTAAAGGGATGAGGTGGCAACCCTACTTGAACCGCTGGAGGCTGGGGGGAGAGAGCCGCTGGAGAGGAAGGAGGAGCCAAGCCATGGCCATTGATGTCCGCAGCCGGGTTGGGAGTCGGTGCTTCACTGGAGGAACCCATGCAGGGTGGTTTTACTACATCTCTTCTGTGTGAACTTGGGTTCAAAGTCACTATGGCAAGCCTGAGTTCACATAGGAGCTGTGTGGGAAACCGCATGCAATTCAAACAGAAATTGGACTGCATTCCTGTTCAAATCGCATGGAATTCTTTGCATTACGATTTAATCCCATTCAATTTGTATGGGCTCAAATCGCACCACTAAGGTATCGGTACTTGTATGTAAAAAAACAGGACTGGTGCAACTCTGATAATAATAAGGATAGCAGGATTTAACTCTTCAGCTACCCAAAAAGAAGTAGGAAAACCTTGCTGTGTGCTCTGACAGTATGGGAGTATGAAAATCCTCCTGTGTAAATCTAAGCTAACAATCATTTAACTTTTCAAGCACCCTTTAGCTGTAGACAATGGGCAGGCTTACTTTGGGATTTAACTCATTGTAGGTGCCATAACAAGTTGCTAGCCATACACTAGTCGAAAAATCAATCAAACAGGTTTTTGAAAAACAAATACATGGTTGTGGTCGATATTGCCATCATGTAGTGACCGAATTTCGAATGATAAATCTTTCAATAGACATAAATGAAACAGTTTTCGTCTGTTTTTTGCTTCTGGGTCACATGTGCGCAGTACCAACAGTTTGATTTTTAACAGGTGAGAAACACATTAACCTTTCAATTTATCATCCATTCGGCAGAAGTTTTCCAAACTTTTCCTTTGATTTTTTAGCTCAAAAACATCATTACAGATTTTCGATTTGTGCCCATTAACTGAACAAAAAAATGAACGAACTGTCCAAATGACAAATTTTGAAACAATTTTTCGTCGAATGCATGGCCACCAGGGACGGACTGACCATTTGGAAACTCGGGCACTGCCCAAGGGCCTGGGGTCAGTAGGGGGCCCCACGAGATGCCCCTGGTACCTTTTTCATAGGCTTTTTTTAGTTTGGGCAAGGACACAGGGGCCCCATGATCCCCTATTTCCCAGGGGCCCCATGAGTTGTCAGTCCGCCCCTGATGGCCACCATAAGCTTTACATTCTTGCAACTCCCAATTTAATATTAGATACAATCCAGACACTATAGATGAATCAGCTCTGTTCACACCTCTGTGTTTTAGCACATGCGTCAGAACACAAAACCACCGATATGTCCTAGAAACATGTTACCCATTGAAGCCATATATATTTATACGCTACATTTCAAAATAATGAGGCATCGGCACGTCCCTGTTCCTGTGCATTTTCATGCACTCTGAGTACCATAGAAGTCTAAGGCTACATTTGCACAGGCATCATGCCATGGTGCCAAAGTCAGCTGCAAGAATCTACTGATGTGTTATGTTTGACAACAGTGAGGGACTATCAGTGGTCGCTGGCCCTGTATACTTCAATCACAGGTTGTCACCGCATATAATTGCTGGCTGTGCGAACAGCCATGAATAGCTGCAGCCCTGGACAACCTGTCATTGAAGTGTATGGGCAGTTGCAGCTGGCTGCTCACAGGTGTCAGACAAAGCAGCAGGAATTAGCAAAGTCTTGCCACTGGTATCTGCGATGTGGCAAAATGCCTGTGTGAATGTAGCCTAAAGCAATGCATAAAAAAAGCTTGTATAGTGCATTTTAATGTGTTTTTATGTATTGCCAGCCAGGAAGTAGATCCTTCCAAAGTCTACAACAATAATGTCACAGCAGGAAATCAATCCTCATTGGCCAAGCCAAATATTTAGGGCACTTGAAATGCATAATGATGCATCCATAGTGTATTGCAATGCATAATAAACCCTAGATTGTACACCCCTTGAGGGTTAGGGACTGATGTGAATGTACAAAATATATGTAAAGCACTGCGTAAATTGATGGCGCTGTATAAGTTGCCTGAAATAAATAATAATGAAAATGCTTGTCACTTTATTTCAGATACTTGTATAGTGCCATCAATTTACACAGTGTTTTACATATATATTGTATATTCACATCAGTCCCTAGCCCTCAAGGGGTGTACAATCTAAGGTCCCTAACTCACATTCACACATACACATACTAGGGCCAATTTAGACAGGAGCCAATTAACCTACCAGCATGTCTTTGGACTGTGGGAGGAAACGGGAGTACCCGGAGGAAACCCATGCACGCACAGGGAGAACATGCAAACTCCAGGCAGCTGGTGCTGTGGTTGGGATACAAACCAACAACCTTATGCAGGCCATACATGGGTTTAATTCCGAACTATTTTTCATCCGAAAATCAAAAACATCGTTCGCTCGGTAATCCGATGTGCCATCAATGATTTCAAAAATCGTCTGACCAAGTCATAAAGTTCACCCCATATAACAGATGAAACTTCTGTTCCTTCCAGGTCACGGCTCATGTGCATATTTTTTTCGGAAAAATGATCGTACGATTTGACCATCATTGAGTCGAAAATTGGTAATTTTTCATGAATTTTCCAACATGCCGATCACCGAAAAGGGGGCTAACCACGAAAATCGACCGGTGCCATTGACCCACTAAAGCGAAAATCGGCCGATTATTCTGACGAAAAAATCGGTTGAATTTAGACCCATGTATGGCCAGCAGTAGTGCTGCCAGGTGGAAGTGCTATCCATTTAGCCACTGTGCTGCCCAATGTAATCAATGGACTACAAAGGACATAAAAAGAAAATGCACTAAAAATGGACAAAAGTGGACATAAACAGATGTGAACCTGACTCTTCAACTGACAAAATGAGTACATGACGCAAAAGCTATAAGGAGTTACTTTTCAGCGGGTAAAGTGGAAGCTAAAGAAAGGGTTAATATGGGAGCTCACCCTTTAAAAAGAAAAAAAGGAAGCTCTGTTTGTAGCCTGGCGGTGTTAAGGTTAATGAAGAAAGTAACTGTTGCTCCTCTAAAGGAGATGCAGGCACTGCAAGGAGGATGAAGGTCCTGTGCTCTCTGCCAGTGATCTTGTGTTAATAACGATTAACAAGTGTTGCTATAGAAAAAGAAAACATCCTTGGCATCCCTTTAGCTGTGCATGCTTCTTCCATACGGTTGCTCATTTGCTGATCAGTTGCTGTGCACAAAACACTACCACTCCTGCTATCATTGCACCTACTGTATTTACCGGGGATATCTGGCAGGAAACAAAATGCCTCTGTGAGAAGCCTCAGGTGGAAGCCTTCATTTTCTGGTTCCTAAACTGCATATTTGTAAATCAAAGCTAAATGTTAGATTGTAAGCTCTAACGAGCAAGGTCCTCTGTTTCCGCTTGTACCAAATAATATTGTAGCTGTAACGTCTACCTTCATTTTGTAAAGCGCTGTGCAAACTGATTGCACTATACAAATCCTGAAGAATAATAATAATAATAATAATACTAATAATAATAAATCTGCAAACCATGTCAAGTGCTTGAAACTAGTAGTCTGCCTAGCAGTCAGATCATAGCTGTTTCTACTTCAGGTTTCTCATAGGATTTGTGGTTTGGTGAAACAAAATCTCAGATGAGCCACAGAATTCACTAAGGTGGCAGCTTGCGAAGCTCTATATTGACGACTGCCAGTTTGGCTGAGGTTGTAGGCTTGTGTATGGACTCCAGCTCACACAGTAATCCACTTGGCAATACAGAAAATCCCCAGAGAGCAACAGCTTGCTATGTTTCAATTACAGTGTATTAGCAACAGTGTTGTGGTTATTCTTCACACAAATGAATTGTTAGTAATAGCTGTGGTGCTGAGTATATTACTTTGAAAAATGATACAATGAAAAGTTACTGCTAATATTTTGCTACACATAGCACCTGAAGCAGATGATATAAACATTATTTTTATTCTCCTTTGGAGAAGGAAGAAATCTTCACTACACAATCTTCCCTAATAAACTGACCATAGACCTCAGTAAGCATATCAAGTCAAGGGGGAGAAGGACCCTGCAGACAGACCTGGCACCAGTTTATTTTAAGGAAGCAGATGCAATCAAGCAAGGGATTCTTACCTGCCCAATTACTGCCCCCCCCCCCAAGAATGGTCTCCAAGGGGCCAATACAGATGGACCAAAAAAATTAGAGCCCATTCACATTTAGTGCTGTGAACACTGTGATAACGTGTTGTGTTGCATTTTAATGTACATTACATTGCCAAAAGTATTTGGGCACCCCTCCAAATCATTAGATTCAGGTGTTCCAATCAGCTCCATGATTACAGTTGTATAAAATCAAGCACCTAGGCATGCAGACTACTTCTACAAACATTTGTGAAAGAATGGCTCACTCTCAGGAGCTCAATGAACTCAAGTGTGGTACCATGATAGGTTGCCACCTGTGCAATAAGTCCATCCGTGATACTTCCTTGCTACTAAATATTCCATGGTAAAACTGTTAGTGATATTATAACAAAGTGGAAGCAACTGGGAACAACAGCAACAACAACATGTAAAATGACAGAGCGGTGTCAGCACATGCTGAAGTGCGCAGAAGTCACCAACTGTCTGAAGAGTCAATAGCTAAAGACCTCCAAACTTCGTTTGGCCTTCAGATTAGCACAACAGCAGTGCATAGAGAGCTTCATGGAATGGGTTTCCATGGATGAGTAGCTGCATC